TACAATATTACACAACAGCTAATAAGTATTTGCCTTTTTTTAGTATTTTTCAGAGCTCAATCGACTTTGAAATTTGTACGATAACATCGAATTGTTGTGTTCAAAAAGTAAAAACTATAATAATTGAAATTATTTTATCCAATGAATCGCCCTGAACAAACAAGCAACAATCAACAATTAGATTTACCGAGTTGGTCCGTCCGAAGTAAAACTTATCTCGGCGGCCAAGTTATAATAAACCGTTCGAGCAGTGAGCACTACACGGCCGTGGTACGATATAATAACTTGGAACTTTAATTCAATCGTTTGAAATCGCCATCGTGTATAATATTACATAGTTTATTGCTTTTCTTATCTTACTTTTCCAGTTTCCACGAACTCGGCATACGAGTTTTAAACGGCCCTATAATATTATACCGCTTATATTATGCGCTTATGAGACGTCGTACAGAATCGAACAGACAACAATACATGTTTCATTAAGAATAAGACAATAATTTTATAATAAAATAATTGCTATTTTGTAGTTTTTCTTTTTTGAGACACTTTAGTTCATGTTATTTTACAATAATCTTTAAACTACTAAATACTTATACGTTTTTATTATTTTTCATACAACTATCAAATTTAAAAAATGAAATAGTAACGTATAATATATTAAAGTAACTTTTTAAATTAAAAACTTTTTGCCGAAAATTTTAACTGGTCTATACCATTTTTAAATAATTACTTTTAAAGTTTCAAATTTAGGACAGGAGTACGGAGAGCAATGCGAGCAGATATAAAATCCTAAATTTTAAACATTAATATAACATAGAAAAATAAACTATTCAAAACTGGTTATTACCCAGTTGCCAAAATGTGTAGCAAATTATTGTTATTTTCAAAAAATAATTAAATATATTTAAGTTTCAAAAGTAGACAGAATTCTGGAAAATTCGAATAAAGTAGTAAATATTTAGCAGTTTTATAGCATTGTAAAATGACACGAACAGAAATGTTTTCAAAAAGAATAATGACAAAATTGCAATTATTTTAAGAGATATTGAGTGTCTTATCCTTACCGAATCGCCCTGTGGGGGGGGGGGTGTTTGTACTTCTCCACAACTACCACTTCAGACGGGAAACCCGTTTCGGCGGAAATGCGCGGATCTTAGTCACCGCAGAGCATACCTGACTTAGGGTCACGCGGATTACCCACACTGATGAGTACCAATTACCAAGTGTACACAGTACAGAGGAACGAGGGGCCACGACCACGGCGGTGTGTAATATTATGTGTTTTGACATCAGTATATACACAACGGTATACTCGGTACACATTATTATGTCAATGTTGTTGGGTATAAAGTTTAGTTAGCGGAGGAATCATTTCGGGGAATCCATTACCCAATTACAACATCGGTGATCCCGGTCGTGGATAAAACCAAACGGAGGGTTTTCCCGGGAAAAAGCATGTCCCACCGCGCGCTTCCCATCCGGTTAATTATAAACGACTCGGTCTCGGCGACTCGTCTTTCGAAAGTTCTTTTCCTTTTTTTTTTTTTTTTAACTTTAGAGACTGTAGCTTTTGATGATGGTACGTTCGTCTGTTCCGATGTAAATTATTTTGGTCGCGTCGCCGTAGAAAATTTCAGGTCATATCTAGTGTGAAGTCGACGTTACTTGTATGCAAATAAGCGTTGTTGAAACCGTTGAGGCTAATAGTGATGGCACGAAAAGTAAATTGGAAACATCACGATGAATAACAATATATATATATATGGGTCTAGAATAGATCATCAGATAAAATTAACAGGGTGATCAATTTGATATAAGACACAATTTTTTTCTTAAAATTGTTGCAATTTGTGAAGTTTTTCACGTTATTTTTTAACATTAGACAATATTCATAATGTTTTATTTTTTCCCCGAACTCAATAAACTTTTAAGAATCAAATAGTAGAAAAACGTATATATATATATATTTTATTAACTTCTCAAATTAAGAATATTTGACTGAAAGTGTTGACTGGTCGATACCAGTTTATAAATAATTACTATCAAAGTTACTAATGTTTAAAAGTTAGGACGGCAGTAGAGTAATGCGCGTAGATAAAAATAAAACTACACTCCACCCTTACTCCCGTCTTGAATTTGAAACTTCAATAACTTTAAAAGTCGTTTTTGAAAACTGGTTATTGACCAGTCAAATGTTTATCAAATTATTCTTAATATTAAAATTTAGTTAATATTTTCGTTACCATTTAAGTTTTAAAAAAGTCGATTGACCACTGGAAAAAAACTAAAAAAAAGTTAAGTAAAAGTAATTATTGAATATTGTAAGATAACATAATCAAAAGTGTCTTCAAAAAGGAAAACCAAAAAATTGCAATTATTTTAAGAGAAAAGAATAGTCTTATCCTTACAGAACCCCCCTCTATTTATAACATACTTATCACGAGCCGTTGTTGAGTATACTATAGAATAAAGTATATACAGCATGAGGGGAATGTGAATTATATCACAATAGTTCTTTCTTTCATACACGGTTCACTCTGGACGATTATTTCGAATGAATTCGTTTAAAACGAACCGTGCAAATATCAAAAGAGATCGTTCACGGCGAACGATTAACAAAGTTGGGTCGAGTCCAACTTTGGATGATTCATCCGAAATTATCACTGAGAGTGAACCGCGAAACGAGGATGGAAAATAAGAAATTAGTCAGCATAAAAATGTGAATCGTGTGCAAGATGGAGCCGAAAGGATCGATATACTAGAGACAAGAAAATCTATAATCAAGGAATAACCGTTATGATGCGTGGAAGAGATACCACATACATCTGGTGGATCAGTGGTCGCTATAATGGAAACGGTGATCTATGCGACGGTATATCGTAAAGGATTTTAAGGGTAGACAGACTTGTGAGAAATAAAGCGAGAAAGAATAATGCAAGTAAGCGTGAAAACCAAAGGATATAAGCTTATAAAAAATAAAAAAACTAAAATATAAAATATATATTATAAATATATATGTATATATATAAATTATATATACACATACATTCATACATATAACATCATATTTTCGCGCCAACTCGTCGGTGGTGATATTGCTGCAGACTGTATCGACGTGTTTTTTTTTGGTATTTTAAAAAATGTAAAAGTATTCGGCTTTGCTTATATTTTAATCTCAAAACAATGTATAATAATATACACTTACATATTTATACATTTTTTTTTTGTACTGAAAATGTGCATTACCGTTGCCCACGCGGGCGTGGCTCAAATTTAAATTTTAAATTTAATATACAGCGGACGATAGCCTTTTAATAAAAGAAAACAAACGCGGCATCGGTTCATTGTAGATATTTAAACATCGTTCTCACGTAGTGGTGGTCTCGGATAGCGAAAAAATGAGACCCGGGGTCGAGGCAAGAAACGGTTGTTTTTTTTCCTCATTTCTATTGTCATTTTTTGATTTATTTTAACCGGTATCTTCCTATGCAATTTTTTTTCAGTTTCCACTTGGGGTTTCACAAACTAACGGCGTGTGTACCAAGTGCAAACACAGCGCGCAAATAGTTTATTCTTAAAGTGTGCCTGTACATGAAATAAGAATAATAATCGAACGCCGACATTTGTCTTAACAAACTTCTTTTTAGCGTTCGTCAAAAATCGAACACGTCTTTTGCGGTTTTATTGACTTTACATTGTTGTTGTTTTTTTTCCTTGGTAGTACAGCAGATGCGTTTTCGTCTACAGCCGCCGGCGGTAAAATTATTTTTACCGGGAATTTTATTATCCCTCGGGGATTCGTCGTAATATTATTTAGAGGAACAATCCAAAGTCCTTAAACCCCTAAAGTGCACAATTTTGTCAGAAATGGTATTATTATACTTAGACTAGCATGTGGTGCTTAATCAAGGTTGTCCTAACTCTTAGACTGGAACGAGATTTATTATTATTTTTTTTTTAGCCTTGACAAAAAGTAATTTCATTCAACTCAGAAGTTCTGAATGTTGCAGTTAAAGTACAACCGTACTAAAAGTAGCTAAACTATACTTTTATCGTTTGAAATTAATTCGAGATAATCTACAACAGAAACGGCTACTCACAATTAATTAAAAATGTTCCTTGCCGAAGATAAAAAGAGAAGCGATTCCGTTTGTTTTCGTACTTGTTTCAGTTTTTAAGCAGTTTACTTTGGACGTTTGTTTTCCCTTGTCCTACTCCTCAAAAGTTGTTTAACTGATCAATAATGAATGAGATAAAGTATGCAAACGACCGAACAAAATAACCAAGTGATAATTTGATGCTTTAATTAATTAAACCATCTTCAGCCTCGAACAATAATTTAAATGTACAAATTTAGTTTTGAAATCAAAAGGCTGTTGTGTTTATAAATAATAATATATGCGATTGTTATTCACTGGATCGAGGACAAAATTAATGATTTAAATACAATGTAGCGTTTGTTTTCATAATTCATTCCAGAATAATAATTATTGTTCTGAATAATATCTTGTACTGTGATTTTTTCAAAAATCTTATTTATAATTATTAAAAATAAAAATTAATTAATTAAAAACGCTTAATTGCGATGCTTTTGCGCGTCAATCAATGCATGCAAATTACTTTGCACATAGTGTACAGTTTTTTTACTTGAACCTTTTAATAAAAGCTGTCACATAATGAAATTAATGATAAAACGAGTAATTAATTGTTATGTTATTTATTATTAATTATTATAATTTTGAGAACACTGTCTATGTAGTGCGGTTAAAAAAAAGGCAAGACACTTTAAGCTATTTTTATATTTTATATTATACATATTATTGTGTGTATTATAATGCGATACTTTATGAATTGTTTTATTTTTAAACAATAAAACCATAACTTTTGGTTCTATAACAATAGTTGTTACATCGAATTAATGGTGAAAATCCAAATCGCATGATTGATAACCTGACAATAGTTTTTTTTATTGCAATACATGTTTTCATTTTTATTTTTAGGGGACTAATGGAAGTGTTCGAGAAGTTTAAAAAAATCGAAGAAAAAATATGATCAACAGGTATTTGAAATATATTATTATTATGTTCTCGTTTTAAAAACAATTGTAGCCTGTACAATAATGTGATTAAGTTTAAAAACCACTTAATAAAAGAATGTGTACATATATATGTATATACAGGGTGTTAATTTTATCGTGAACGGTGAACCATTCAATATCTCATAGGGTTTAACAAGAAACTAATTTTTTTCCCTACAATTTTTATACGTCGAGATCTCAATTTTTCACAAGCTGTTTTGTTTTTTCCCCCTTCCAACTTAGGTTTTTTGATAACACTTTTTCAAACTTAAACGGTAACGTATACATTTCATTAACTTTTTAAATTGTAAATAATGTACTACAATTTTTGACTGGTTGATAACCAGTTTTGAACAATTATTTTAAAAGTTATAAGAGTTTAAAAGTTAGGATGGTAGTGGAAGTGCGCACAGATAAAAATAATACTACACTCCACCTTATCTCCTACCCTAAACTTGAAACTTCAAAATATTTAAACACAATATATAATATAATTTTACATTTATTATATATTAACATTTAATATTACAGTCGTTCAGCTAACATAATCGTTTTAAGTTTGTTAATAAAGACCGCAGTCAATACACATGTAGCACGGTTTACGGTTAGATACACCTATATTATTTACAAATTGGCTTTGCCAACGTTTCGGAAGCCTTTCATCTTCCATATATGGAAGGGCTGTGCAGCAATCTTTCACCGTAACACGGAAAAAAATAACTTAAAAAGTTATGCGACCAAAAAACATCTCAATTATACCTACTCGTTTGGATCCCTTAATCAGTTGGCATATTTTAAAATTCGTCTAGTGTAAGACATTGCCCCCCTTACCGTTTAATAAATATATTTGGACGTTTCCGTTGTCCTTAAAAAACCCGGCTATTCACATGTAATTTTTTCGGGCAGCCAATGCCAAAGAGTCGCCGGACTCTCATTTTTGATTTTACTAATTATTATACAAACATGAGCGTACATGCAAACGGTACCACATTTAAACCGTATGCAAGACTCTCGACTCGGGGGTAAAAACACATAGAATACACACGGAAATGTCATGAACTTTACATACGTACACGGGACGGCAATGGTGTGAGGGGGGGGGGTTGGGGGTTTGAGTTGCGAAATTCTGCTTACGATATAACATACATAATGTGCTACTCAAACGGACAAATTCGTCGGCCCGGAACCCGTCAACACAATAGTGTGAAAGAGGATTGGGGTGGGGGGGGAGGTATAGGCGCGTTAAAGGTCATTTCGGCGCGAAGGGGATGTGATTGAAATTAACAATAAATAAAATATCAACGGGAAATCGATGAACGGTCTCACACCGCTTTGCATGTATAATAACACCATCGAAAACGGGGCCGTGTAAGGGCAGACGGTTTCGGGAACAATGCCTCGCTGCGACGGACGGCAAAGAGCACACCGTTTCGTCGAACCGTCGTCCGAAGCTTTATATGTAGCAACAATATTCGTATAATAATAATTATTATATTTCTGTTATTGTAGGGCCAAAGCGACCTCGCGGAATTCGTAGCTGAAAAAAAGACACACGTTTAAAATCACTATTTTTTTCAAAAAAACATCAAATTCCTTGCAAAAAAAAAAAAAAAACACTTTAAAATAAAAATGTTTTTTTTTTAAACTATGTAAACAATAGATAATAATGCTTTTTCAGGCTTTTCGGAAACCTACGCGAACATTTCAAACGAATTGTACATAGTTGTTTTGTAATACAAAATTCAATTGTTTAACGAATCAACTACACTAAAAACCAGAGCTTGAAACAGTTATACTGAACTCTTTTTTTAAAAATGTAATTTTTAATAATTATTCAATAACTTATAATTATTTGTTATCGGAAAAATAATTTTAAAAAATTACTATCAAAATTTTGGGTCTCACGGAAAACTTTATACAAAAAAAAAAATGTTTACTCGATTTTACTTGAATCGGGGCGACGATTGATATCTATCCAGGTCGCGGAAATCGTAGACGAGGGAGGGAGAGAGAGGAGACCGGAATTTCCGCATAAATAAAACTACTTGACCGTCCGAATAAATTATATATATATATATATTATATCGAATAAACGCGTATGTGTGTGTGAGGGCAAAAAAAGTTTCCGCACCGATAATATATATATATGTATGCGAGGACCATAAATCACTGCAAAGTGGACGTTTTTTTTGGGGGGTGTTTTTTTTTTTTTTCACTTTTTCCTGAGAGACGGCGAAAATCCGTTATTCCTATACACCGATATTATATCCCGGTCGGTTCACGATAGCGGCACACCTTCTACTACTTCTGGTACTATTTCATCCCGGCCAAAAAAAAAAAAGAAGCGACTTTGGCGGATGTCTTCACAGCCCGCACCGGCCGGCGAAAAGTGAATAGACAGCTGCAAAACGAACCGTGTCTTATCGGCCGGCATAGAGGCGTCGATTCGTTGCTTTTTGTTTTATTTCCCGGCAAAACAAAAAACCCCCATCACAGAGACACCGACCGTCGATAAGACGACGACGACGACACCGAAAACCCCGGGTGATTTATATATTATGCACCACTGTAGTTGGACCGCCTCTTCTGTAAATAATTTTAAAATGTACAACATTTTTGTAGTTTTGAGGAAAACGAATTCTGGGCTTCGAGTCCGAACCAAGAATGTTATTTTTAAGTTGTCGCGGTGCAAACCTTTTATTTGACATTGTTGCCTGTACTTTAAATTGGTGTTCAATGTGATATTAATATATTTTTCAATCGGCAGTAATTAACTCTATGAAGGATTTAAGTTATATTTCACCATTCAATACTGCGCCACATTTCGATTAAGTGCAGCTATTACATTACGTTTAAAAAGAAAAATATTAGCCTTAATAATTATAATTTATAAGACATAATTCTGTGTTTGAGTGCCAAAAGCTGTAATGTGAATAAAGTTTACTTTACTGGAGAACTAAACAAACTTGTATCTTATGAATCACCATTTTGTATTACAAGTTGTTATTTTATATTTTTCATTGGCCATGTAAATAAAATGTTAAGTAACATACCATGTTTCTTTCGCGGAACATATAATTTTAATATATTTTTTAATACCTCATTTGATATTAGAGCTACAGATACCATATTTCGATTCAAGAAAATACATAACATGTAAAACCTCAAAATTACATTTTTTTACACATGATATCAGCTTTTGGCTTTCAACCGCAGAATTTAGGTTTCGTCGACGAGGAATAGAAGAATATTCTCCACAAAACTACTATACTACTATCGAAATATTATAAGTGCAAAAGAAGATGTGTTTAGCTCCGGGCATAGTTTTGTTGCTGACACACACACAAACGCTGTATAACACTGTTTCATCATAATACATAAACATTGTGTCTCGTATGTCGTCCGGAGGCCAAAAATCGCGTTCGACGGTCAAATCCTGCAATAGCTGTTCCGGACCCGAGGCGAACATACACTTGACGTCATATTATATATTTACATAGGAAAATAACAAATAGCTCTAAATTATTCGAATATTATCGCAGCAGCTACGCGAGAGAAAGAGTGTTGCATTTTTATTTTGCATACGAACCTACTGCCAGCTGTGTGATGATCGTGTCCAAAGGCGCACGCGAGTGTACTAGTTTAACATGGATCTTATCTTCCGCCAGGAGAGAGGTTTAAATTTGTTATTATCATCCGAAACCGGAATCGCCGAGAGATGGCCACGAGCAAAATTGTCCAAGTTCCATATGTTTTATATGATCTTACACTGCCAAGTTCACACTCAAAATTAGGCTGCAAAAACTCCATTGGTATTGTTTCAGTGTGTGTAATTTAAAATCTTATAAAGTCTTTAAATAATTATACTGGACAATAACACAATTCATAATTCACGTACTAGGCAAAATCATGATAAGTTGATATCAACTTCACCTGGGCATTATTTAAATAATTTGTTTGTATTCAAACAATTGTTTTATGGGAATTTGTAATACACCGAATGAATAAAATATGTTTTACAACGATTCAAATATATAAGCGATGCCATTATGTTAAATGATATTTTTAACTATGTAAAACTAATCAACGTACTAGATACTAACGAGGGTAACCGCAACTGCGGCTTTTCTCATCGACTGAATCAATTATTTTTTTGATCTTTCTTGCAGTAACTGTCACTTTGAGTAGGTTGTATTAATATGTTGAACATGTGACTCGATATACATTTTACCGCAACCTAACCCGTTTTTGTATTATAATTTTCCCTTGGGCGATTGAATGGGACAGATGTACAATACATTTATAAAATATTTGCGGTCATATAAAATAGGTATTCAGTGCTCGTTATTGTAATTTTTTTTTTTTTTTTGAAAAAGAGTATTCAATTATGATTGCGGACATTGTTTCACGAGGTGTCCGGTGACAAAAATGCATTATCCCTATTATTGGTCATTACAATGGCTTTCGCATCGTTTATTGCATTACCGCCCTTCATTATACCAATATGACGCGTACCTTCGAAATATACCAGAGATATTATAATTTAATAATGCATTAATATTTCATAGGCCCCGTTGGACATTGTAATATACACATGCATGACGGGTATCCTGTATCCTATTAGGTAACACTTTCAGAAATTACCGACAGCAGCAGCTGTACACCTAGTCCGTTATTCAATCAATATAAATTTGAAAAATGCCAAGTTTTATGAACAGCTTTATTAACGAGCGATACGCGAAAAGCGATAAAAAAAATTGTCCTCGGCTACATCGTAGACCGTTTTTATAATGGTACTTGGTAGTGTAATATAATTGTATATTATTTAGGAATATCGTACACAACATTTTAAGTATCGTTTTAAAGCGAATTTTATTACTTTGTTCGAGTCGTATAACGACTTGCGCGGTTGTTATCGCAAAATAAACCCATTACTTTATATTATTATTATTGTTATATTGATTGACGGACAATATAGTTTA